GGCACCCAGCAGCAGCGGGCAGGGCTGGGGAAAGGTGGTGACCTGCCTCACCCTTAGAAACGATTAAACCTCTTCAGTCCACGAGAGAGGAAAAATGAGAGGAATTTTACTCTGCTCGGCCTCTAATTGCTGATTCAGGCAAGAACGACTCACACCTAAACGCCACTATGAGAAAATAAACCTCATCCCTGGCACCATCCCAGGGGAGGTTGGCCGGGGCTCTGAGCACCCTGCTCTAGTTGGGGATGTCCCTGCTCCCTGCAGGGGGTTGGACTAGGTGACTGTTAAAGGTCCCTTCCCACCCAAACCAGTCTGATTTTACAACCAGTGGGGTCCTGGGTAACTTAGTTGGGTAAAAAAATTACAGGTAAAAACAATTACTTTTTTTTTTTAAAGGCTCTCAGCTATATAATAACATTTCTTTTTGCTATAGCTATAGCCTGTTTTTTTTCAGAGAAATAAACCCAAACAAAAGAGAAAATGGAGGGTTGTAACAGGTGTAACAGCTTTGCCATCTCCCATTCACCCACCCCAAGCTTACTCACTACTGTATCTCATTCCTTTTAAAGAGAAGATACCTTGATATGGTCCATAGAATCCCCTGAAAGCTTCTGAATGTGCTGGAGGCAAAATTTGACACCAGAGGGGCTGAAGAAGACGATGCTTGCTGGAGTTCCCTGAGTGAAAGAAACCACAGGTTGGCCCAGATTCCCCCCTCCTCCAGCAGCAGAGCAGTGGGCTGGCATGTAAATCCTCTCCACTGCCTCTATAGGGACACCAAGTGGTTTTGTTGATAAGAGACAGGAGTGAAGCCTCCAGAAAGGGTGCCCTGAGCTGCAGCCAGGCTGCCAAACCCTGTTCTGCCACAGCCTGCCCAAATTCAGGTGTGACCTGAACCAAATACTTTGGCACACAAGTGCTTGGTGGTAGAGACACAAGAGGAGAACTTTCAGGAGAACCATCAGCCGTTGGAATGTCTCCCCAAGGACATGGTGGGTTCCCCATCATTGGACAGCTCTAAGCTTCAGCTGAACAGGGAGCTGGACCAGCATGTCTAGACCAGGATTTTGCCAAGACACAAACCAGATGATCCTTGAGATCGTTTCCAACCTGGGATTCTACAATTTGAGGAGCTGTACTGAAAGTATTCTGGAGCCAAACTTATTTTCCTGTTCAGCAAGAAAACTTGGCAAGTTCTTTCCCTAAATCCATTCCCATCTCTCTCAGATCAGCACATATTCTCTGCTTCCCAGCTCATGTGGTTTACCCCAAGTTTTGCCTGCCCTGAGAGGCTCTGGCAAAGCTGAGGTGATGCCAGAGAGCTGCAGAGCCCTGGAAGGGCTTTCCCTCTGGGAATAAGCCTGAAACCTCCTGCAGCCAAAAGAAAACTTGGCAAAATTCTGTCTGGGGTGAAGGTGCCATGCTCCTGAGCTGCAGGCCTAAAGCACACACCTCCTTTACCAGGATTTCCTGCCTGACCAGAAAGAGAAGCTTGTTCAGTTGTTATGCCAGCTCTCCACGTGCCAAACATCACCACATCAGCAGTTAAGAACAACTCAAGAGCTCATGAGAGCCACATTTGAACAGCTTCACACTGACCTGATGTCCAGCTGCAGCAAGGAAGGAGTTCTGTGAACAGCTTGGGAAGTTTCAGAATGCCTGTGGACTACTGACTCACTTCTATCTGCTATAAACCAAAGCCTGTGGGGATCAGCCCTGCAACACCCACCCAGGAACACCAGGGCCCCTCAGATGAATCAGCCAGACTGCCCAAGCCAAAACCTTTTAAGGAGCTCTTGCAAAAGCACTTCAAAATCAATATGTAATTTAGGGAGACATTAATGCACAGATTTTAAAGCCCAGCAGGCCAAGGGAGGCTGGAAGAAGGAGAGGCTGTGTTTGGAATGAAATTAAGCCTAGATGTAGGCTCCTACAAACAGAAAATTCAGGAAGCCAGTCTTGAATGGCCAGCTGAGGGAGCTTGTGGTGCTGAGCCTGGAGCAAAGGAGGCTCAGGGGAGACCTTCTGGCTCTGCACAGCTCCTGACAGGAGCCTGGAGCCGGGGGGGGGTCGGGCTCTGCTCCCAAGGGACAGGACAAGAGGAAATGGCCTCAAGTTGCACCAGGGGAGGTTGAGGTTGGACATGAGGAAAAATTTCTTCCCCAAAAGTGTTGCCCAGGGCTGTGCCAGGCTGCCCAGGGCAGTGGTGGAGTCCCCACCCCTGGAGGGGTTTCCAAGCCATGGAGATGTGGTGTGAGGGACGTGATTCAGCCCTAGACTTGGGAGAGTTGTGTTAATGGTTGGACTTGATGACCTTAAAGGTCTTTTGCAACCAGAATGATTCTATGGAAAAAGAAAAGCAATTATTAGTACCTTCAGACCTTTGACTATGCACTGATCCTTGCTTCATGACAGAGCTTTTGAAAAGAGAAAGGCATTGGAAGCTTTCGCAAGTATCTCTCCACACACTTGTCCACAGCATGTCACTTGGAATTCTGACACTTAAAATGAGATCATTAATACACTCACAGGTTGGCTAACCAGAGAAGGAACACTGACACTATGTGGGGCAGAGGACTCTCAGATCTGATTTGTATACAGCAAAGGTGTGCAGTGATAGCTCAATTGCACTAATAAAAATCACTAATAATGCTGTCCAATAAAGATATTCAGTATTTCCTTGGTAGGCAACAAGGGAGAAACCCCAAGAAGCAGGATATTCTTGTGTCACCACCAGGATCACTTCAGACAGCTGAAGGAGAGGAGCATATTCTGCTAGAGATTACCACATGCCTCAAAACTCTCAAATGACATCAGCATCTAGTACCTGTTGTGAGAAATAACTGCTCAAAGATTCTTGCAGGTCAGCGTGTTGGGATGTTTGATACACAGTCAGGCTTTCCAGAGGGATACCTGGAACCAGGAGATACATTCCTAATTAAACAGGCTTTCATTAATTTCTATTAGTTCAATAAAACACTCTCAACATACTAATTGCACTTCAGTATAATAGTTTAGGCTAAAAGGATACAGAAAAAAAAATTCTGTGAAGGTTTTCTAGGTGTTTCTAGAGTTGCAAGATGTATTAAAGCACCTCTGATCAGAGGGCCAAGAAGCACACCAGAAAAGCAGCAAGCCTTGGCACACTTCTGGGAGCAAGTTACTTTCCATCTCACAGAGAACAAGGCAAGTAACCCTGCTCACATCATGCTAAAACTCAGTCCCAGAGCTGTGGGCACCAATCCAACCACCCAGGTTTCACTCCCACCCTCTAACTTCTAACCAACCTAACAGCAAATTCAATTTTGACTTATTCAAATTTGGTTCACAAGCTTTGGATACAACTTTTCTCATAACTGACTAATTAAAATGAGGCTCCAAGGGGAAGTTCAACCTTTTTCTCTAAGTACTGTAGGAAGTACTTCTCTTTTCAGGGCTCCACAAGGAAAAAGAAGAGCTGAGGAATTAGGTTTCTCTCCTGTAAACACACAAACAAGAGTTTTAATTAACTGGTGTTTTTAATGAAGAGTAAATGTGACACCTTTAATGCATTTTAAAGGTCTCAGATGTTGGAGGCTGCAGTAAATGCCACATGCTTCACCAGAGCCAGCCCTGAGCTAACTGAGCACATCTGCAGTGCAATGCAGCCACAGTTCAGAGGACAGAGGCTACTTAGCATGCAAATTAAAAAATATTCCATAACTATAACATTGCCTGAAAAGATCTCAGGAGAGATAAACTGCCTTTCTGTTCCCCTTGCAGTCTACAAGCCCACTCCTCCTCCTCAGAGAGACAATCTTCCCCAATTTTATATTGAAAATCTTAGTCCCACTCCATACAAGGCAGTTCTCTCCACAGAAAAAAGAATGTTCTGGCAAAGAAGGGGACAGAAATGCTGTGCTGAAGTTTCCCTCAGTCTAAAACTCTGCTTTCTTCCCTGCCCAGGGAAGAATGATTCTCCTTCCACTGCTAGGGTGGAAGTTGATATCCTTGCTTGCTCTTGTCCTTTACAGGGAGTGACCCCACCTTTAATTACTGTTACCTTCCCAACATCTGAAATCCCCTTGGAGACTTTGGAAGGACCTCTCTGACACACAGCTGTTTATAACCTAACTTCTTGTAGGGTCAGGATACACCATGGATGCAGTTTCCAAGGGTTTTAGGTTTCTAATACATATCAGAAGGGTAAAAACTTCTGCTTAAAAAACACCACCAGGTAACAGAATCGTAGAGCCATGGAATGGTTTGGGTGGGAAGGGACCTTTCAAGGTCAGCTAGCCCAACCCCCTGCAGGAGTGGTGGCCTGTGGGCTGGGAGCACCCAGGGCCAGCTCCTCATCCACCTCCTGGGTCATACCTGCACCCAAACAGCCACCCTGTCCCTGTGCACCCTGCCTACCTAGCTGAGTACTTCAGACATGTTAATCCCCACGTTTAAGAGATGTCTGCTAGAAAAACAAACTCCTTTTTTTACGTGCTGGAAGCAGATTCTTGGTTTATAACAGCATCAGAGATGCCTTGGGGAAGAAACAAAGCATAGAACAGTAAAAAACAAGTGGAAAGACCCTTGTAGGAATCAACATAGATACATCTGACTGTCCTAACTGCACGTTGAAGGTTTATTAGAGGCCATAGATATGCTTGTAATAAATTAGAAGAATGAACTTGGGACAGAATGTAAAAGAGATTTTAAAAGAATAAGATAAACCCAAAATACTTCAGCATTAATCCTCCTCCAGCTCACGTGGGCTAATGGAGATGTGGATGTGAGATCTGTAAAGAAACACTAATCCTTTTGGACTTGTGTTTACAAAGCACAGAAAAATGTCCTTAGCAGGCCTGGGCTATCCAACAAGCATCAGCCCTGATGGTTCCCCTGCTTCTGTAACCAACACTTCACGTTATGCTGTAATAAAACTAAAACAATATTTGCCTTGAAAAGAGCAAAGCCAGCTAGCTAAGGACTAAATTCCTTTATTTTCCCAATGACTTAAGTGGGTGCTGAAGCACAAAAGGTGAATGACAAAAGAAACATCATTAATTGAGATTTTACTTTCCTTCTGACAGTAAATTCTTTTCATTTACTTCTCATTTTATGCAGGAACAAAAATAAATATATAGATAATAGGGAACATGGTATAATTTAATCTGTGCTTCAGAGGTGGTGATAAACCACTTGATGAATTGAGAGTGCATAAATATGCACAATCTAATAAATCACAGAGTATGATTATCTGTGTCAACAGCAGGCAGTCTCCAGTGATGGAAACTCACTGCCTGGTTATCAAAACTGAAGGATAGTCAAAGGCTGTCATTTTCTGCAAGGATAATGGAGGTGGTGCAGCTCTGTGTTAATTTAAATAGCCTGCTGCTGTTCTGGTATGAAGCTGCCCTCGGGCCACTCCATGTGAAAGGGTTTGTAAGACACAGCTCTCTCTGTCCCAGCGGTGGCTGTCAGGAGCTGCTGCTGCTCTGCATTGAACCTCTCTGCTCTCAGCAGCTCCCCGAGAGGCTCCTGCTGTGAAACTCCAGCTCCTGACTCTGCAGGAGAGTGCAGGCAAAGCAGGGAACAGCCACTGAGCAAACACGGGCAGAAGGAACAGACCCTGTGAACCCAGCAGCTCCCAAGGGAGGAGGACGAGCCAGGGATGATCCTCAGCTGGACTCAGACAACAACCAAGAAGATGGAAATGTTCCAGGTGAGGTTGGCCAGGGCCCTGAGCAACCTGCTCTGGTTGCAGATGTCCCTGCTCCCTGCAGGGGGTTGGACTGGATGAGCTTCAAAGGTCCCTTCAGACTCAAACCATGCTATGATTCCACAGCCCCATGTCACAGTGCCCTAACTGTGCCAGTCCCAGGCTCAGCAAGGAGGAATTTTCCCTCTCCCAGCACTATGCAGCTGGTTTGCTACACACCTAGGGCCTTCCACATTCATACAACAGAAGAGACAGGTGTTTTCCCCATCCTCCTCCTCAGAAAAACCTTTGTCTGCAACTGGCAAACATTAATTCAGTACCAGAAGTAGATTTCCTAGCACTAAAAAATCAGCTTTGTTTTAAACTCTCTGCTGAAGAGCAGCCATGGGTTATTCTTCACTTATGGCATCTTCATCCTGAAAATTTCAGTTTTAGTTTTCAGAATTTATTATTTAATCTCGTGTTGGCAACTACAATTTTTTTATCATGAAATATTCCACATAATTATTTTATTTGCCAATGAATTACTGAGCACTGCCCATAAAAAACAATACTTGCCAGCCCCAATCACAGCTCTCTATAAATCTCTGCCACCACGTAGACTTTGCTAATCAACACTCTCTTTCTCATCTAACATCATGACTAACAGCCAAAACCACTGTGTCAGGGTTCTTGACATCATTTCCCCCACTGAAGCACCTAGCACCTTACTCAGCAAGTTCCCAAAGTGTGGTCAGCAGTAGGGCTTTTAAACCAGCAGCTAGAATAATTCCTCCAACATCTAGAATAACTGCACTGGTTCTCATTTGTCCCTCTGACTGGGCTCAGCCAGAGGCAGGCTGTCCACCCTGACTCTCTAAATAAGGTGGCTTGTCAAAGCATTGGTCATTGGACAATAACTGTAACATTTGCCACCAAACCCCAGAGTGGTGGGGTTGGAAGAGGCCTCTGGAGATTCATCTTGTCCAACCCTGCTGTCCCAACAGGTCACCCACAGCAGGGTGCCCAGGATGGTGTCCAGGTGAGTTTGGAATCTCTCCAGAGAAGGTGACACCACAGCTCCAAGGCCAGGTTAGATGTGGCTCTGAGCAACCTGCTCTAGCTGCAGATGTCCCTGCTCAGTGCAGGGGGGTTGGACTAGATGACCTTGAAAGGTCCTTTCCAACCCCAACCACTTCAGGATTCTGTGATTTTAACTAACCCTTTCTGCAGCTCCTCCAAAACCACTCTCCTGTGGTGCTGAAAAATAGATTCCTCTGAAACCACATGTTCAGTCTGAGGAAGGGAGTTCCCCTCAGCTAGCATGACCTACGTGGCAGGACAAAAAATCCCCAGCAAGAAAAGTCAGGTCACCCAAAGTCACAGAGAACCCACACATCTACAGTCACAATTATTTAAGTCTTATCATTAAACAGCAATTTTCAATCATTACAACTCTGATCTTTTATCAAAAAAACCAATACTTTGTCCACTGGGTTATTTAGTACTATTAATCAGTTACAGAGTCTAAGATTTCATGTAAATTAGTATTTTTTTAATAGGTATTTCAAAGATTTTTTAATCATTTGTAGAGGTTTCACCCACATTCCCAGGTGTGGAATTCAGAAGTTCTACATTTAAGGCATATATGCATTATGTAATTCTCTCCTTCAGCATACCCTTGATTTTAATTAGCTTAATTAATCAGAAGATTTTAGATACTTACTTGAGCAAATATATTCAGCTAATTTTTCAGCATTTCCAGACTTTTCTCCTTGTGGAGTAAGACCAATTTCTTCCACTGTAAACCAAAAGCAGCAAAGAAAACCATCAAAATCAGTGAGAACAATGTAGAGTTACTCTCACAGAAACATGGGCTGAGAAGGGAGACACAACCTGAGCCACACACACAAACACTTGGCAAGGCCAAAAATCAGAGCCTTTGAAGCAGGGAGATGCTAGGAAAGATTCCATTTGTTTTTCTTCTAGAAAGACATGCTTGAAAAGAGTACAACTGAAGAATTCTGAGGATAGCTAAGCTGCTTTGGGGAGTTTTGAAAGCTCTCCTCTGTGAAGTGGTGAAACAGCAGCCACTGGCTCTGCTGGATGGGCTGCAGTTCCTGGAAGGGTTTGGGTGCAGGCAGCTTCCCAAGGAGCTTCCCTGCTCTTTGTAGTGAGGGCTGAAATCCTACTGCAAAATCTCAGAGTGTATCACTAGTCTTACTTAAGCAACTAGGTAGGGGGGAGATGAATTCCTAAGAAGTTAACTCATCTGAGACTTGATTGAGTCTAGGTGTTTGTGAGGTGCTACCAGTTGGTGAACCAGAGTTGTTACCAGTTGATGATCCAGTGTTGTGACCAGTTTGCCTGAAAAAAATGCACTTTTTATAGAGGTAGCCAGCACTTATCCAAATTATTTTTGGCCTAGAAGCAGAAATGGAAGCAGGAGTGAAGGGCCAGTGCATCACACTCTGTACAACCTCAGACAATCACGTTCTAAACTCCTCCACCCAATTTCAATTCCAAAGTGAATGAGAAAAGCCACGTGAAAATGAAAAACAAAGCTTTTTTTTTCCTTTTTTTGACAATTTTTGAACTATTTACCATCACATCACAATAAAAGCAATGAAAAGCCAGCAGCTAGATCCTTAGCTGAACTAAGCACAAATAATTCCAATGTGTTTACAGTTACTTGCTTTCAGAATCACCCATTTATAAAACTTCCCTATGTTTTTTTTTCTAAGCACCCTTGGAAAGCAGCTCATACTCCAAAAACTGTGCTTACAAAACAAATTTATCCAAGACTTCTCTATTTAAACCCCAGCTTACCCAAAGAAGCTGTAGCTTTTCCCACCACATAGGCTGGTTTGGTATTCCATCTTTGTTTAAGAGATTTTGACCAGGCTGAAAAACATTAAATTTAAGCATGTGGCAACAAAATATGAATGTTAAATGAGTATTTGGATTTCTGTTTAATCTACAAATACAGCAAAATAATAACAACTAACACTCCACTACATATTTCAGCAAATCTGGATGTGCAAAATGAATTTTCAAAGCATTTTTTCATTGTGTAAACAGCAGTCTCCAACATGTTTTTAAAAGCCTAATTGGAGTAAACAGTTCTTAGCTGCTTTGGTTAAGTAGCATTTTTAATGCACACTTGCCCTGTGCCAGATCATGTACAACTTGCAATGCTCATTTATATTCTGGCATTAAGAATTTTAGAAAACATCAGAACTGACAGGAAAAAAACAGCAAAGGGAGATTTAAATATTAAAAATGGTTTCAAACTGAAGGCTTAGGTGAAAAAGCAAACAAATGAACTTCTATCACAACAAATAAGTGGGTAAAAATCTATATCCATGCACTCTGTAACTCTTACAATAAAAATATAGGAACTGATTCTATTTTTAAAACACTAAAAATAAGTTATCAGCTCAGGAAGAATATGTACTAGAGACCTATATAAAATTATTAGGAAATGGTTTTCCTCCTTCAGGCAGTAATTATGTTATGGATAACACTTCTTGGATCCAGCTACCTGATCCTGATCCCTATGCCTGAAATCCTAAGGGGTCAAAAATAGATATGCTTGTCTTAAAACAGTGTAGCATTCAACACTCAGCTCCTTCCTAGTATTCTGGGGAGGAAAAAAAATTAGAAAGTACAACAGTAAAAAAAACATCAGGGGAAACTATTCTAAAGAAGGGAAAAAGAAAAGGATTTATTTCCTTTGAAAGGTACCCAAGTATGAACTGAAGACTCCTTTTATTGATTAAAATATATATTTCATCAGCTCCAAAAAGTCCTAATCTAGATTAGGGATGAACTCCAGGTAAGAGATTACATTTGACCAAATTCTAAACCAGAAGCCTCTGCTGCTGAAAATGCTAAACCAATCTTTCTCAGGAGTGTGACCTTACTCACTGCACATTGATTAGCACAACTACAGCCTAAACATGAAGCAGATAAAGCAATGATACCATTTAAGAGCATATATAGAAACTGAAAGCCAGAAGTTATCCCTTAGTATAAGAATTCAGAAGAGTTTACAAGGATTTGATAGATCATTTGTATGGTAATTTCTATTCAGCACTGCAGGATTCTCACTCACAACTCATCTCTTGGCTTTCATGTATCACTGTTTTCTTCAGTGCTTTTTAGCACTAAAAAACTAATAAATTTTATATTCAAGACAGATAAGCCTGGTTTTCTGTAAGACTCCACATGAAGTCTACAGAAAAGTAGCTGTGGATGGTTTCTACACAATGCTCCTCTCTTTAAAGGAGGAAAGAAAGGGGTTAGTAAGCAAAACCAGGCACTGTAGCAAAATAATCCTTATGCATGAGTTTCTCTTTACAACTCTTATTAGCAAAGATAACCACAAGGAAAAAGCTCCAACTAATTAGGCAGTTGCACTAAAAGCTCTTTCATTTTGTGCAAAACCCCCACCCCTCAATCCCTTTAAAAGCTCAATTTCACATCAGGCTCTTATGATCCCAAAAGGAACTGTGAGATACAGATACTCCAAGCACCTGCAGGTGGGGGAAATAAAATTACAAGCTGCCCAAAATGCTGAAACAGAAAGATCAAGGTCTATAAATATGCACTTACCTTCATTTTTACTATTCTCTTTCAAACATATCTTGATGGCTTCTAAGGCTCTTGGACTGGTAAAAATTAGGCCTCCATAACATTCTGGATGAGAGAGCTACACATAAACAGGAAATTGAGGAAATAATAAAAAAGAGTAAATAAATTTTTAAAATTAAGTTGATCAGTTTTTTTATAATCTTGTGAAGAACAAAACTTCAATGTCTGAAACTGAAAAGGGCAAATATTTGATGACTATCAGTAGCTAGGCTATTTATAAGAGAGATGTGTAACACATCTCAAATTCAGACATTTGCACAGATTTTATTAATTCTGAGAATCTGTTGGAACAGATGAGGATTCCTGTCACTGCAGTGAGATGGAAGGATGGGAAAACAACATCTGAGCTAACTGCAAACTAATAAAAGAGAAATGAACAGTTAATCCAAGTAGGAGCACAGAGGGTATGACCCAGGCAGCTGCTTGCCTTCTGCCCCCTCAAAAAAACAGTTGAAATTACTACCAGGCTCTCAAAAAAAACCCAAAAAGATCAGTACAAAAAAAAGGCAAAATGTTGTGGGATCACTTGTAAATGCAGATCATGATACATTCAAACACATAACAAATTTCAGTATTGTTGGAGATTGTCAGTCAAGGGAAAGTCCCTCAGCAAACCTTTTCAACACTTAAAAGTGAAATATAACCACTAGAAAAAAGAGTAGAAAGAGAACACTGATTAGGCAATTTTGTTTAACTAGAAGACACAGAACACAATATCAGTACAATGTAGGGAGGAGTCTCAGGGAACCTTTACTTGTCACTACAGTCTTCTAGTTTTCTGTTGTGACTAAATGCCCCAATACCTGTGACCACCTAAGGCCCATCACCCTAAATGTGAATTCTGTCTGACCAGCTTAATTCTTTAGCAAGTAAGGGCAACATACTTGATGCTGTATAGAATGCAAGAGGAAATAGCCTCAAGCTGCACCAGGGGAGCTTTAGGTTGGACAGTAAGAAAATCTTCTTCCCTAAAGGGGCTGTCCAGGGCTGTCCCAGGCTGCCCAGGGCAGTGGTGGAGTCCCCATCCCTGGAGGGATTTAAAAGCTGTGTAGATGTGGTGCTGAGGGACAAGGTTTGGTGGTGGGCTTGGTGGAGTTAGGTTAATGGTTGGACTCAACCTTAAAGGTCTTTTCCAACAGAAATGATTCTATGATTCTCTAACACCATACTGTGTTGTATACAATATTGTGTTGCATACAACTGTGTTTGTAGAAACACAAAATGAGATTCCACAAAGGGCATTATTAAATCAAAATAAGACACAGCATCTTGGCAACCATGGCCTAAATTCTGTTGAAAATATGACAAGTGAAATAATTTAAACCTTACCTTTTCAAATAAGCTTTCAAGAGATGTGAATTCAAATGACAAAACTGGAATCAAAGTTGCTTCAAATCCATATAATCCTAATTCCTATCAAAAAAAAGGTTTACAGCTCTTGAAACAGATTTCAAACAGTAGTTTTTTTCTTTTTCAAAGAACTAAGTAAGCACAAATATTTCTTTTCACTGAAGTAAAATAGAAAGGCATCTTATTTGCCTTTACTGGTGGATCTAGTATAGTTTTGTTAGTTATTTAGTATGACAACAAAACACTAAACAAACAGCTGTGGAACTGAGGCCTCCTACACAGCTACTGAACAGGCCCAGCACACACCAGCACACGGCTCTGAAGTCCCTCAGTGACAAAGATTCACCTCATCCTGCAGATATTCTTGTACATCTCTGTAACTTCTTTTAAGTCCATGGCACTGCTCTCATTCACACGACTAGAGGCAACAGCAGGATGACAGTAACAGGTAACCTCTTCTTCACATTACATTCCCAGTAAGACTACTAAGCCTTTCTGTAATCTCCATACTATCCATATGAAGGCAATATTAACCAATTATAATGAAATTGTTTTAATGTCAGTACTTTGCTGAGAACTTTAATGGTGAACTCAGCACAAATGCCCCATAACTAACATAATTTTTCAGCATACTTTTTTTCTTAGCATTTCAGACACACACTCCTAATTTTCACTGAGCACTTTCTTCACTCAAAACAGTTACATTAATCTATCTTGCTGAAGGTGAGATGTTATTTAGCAGCAAAGTGACACAATGGTTTACTTTTTGTTTTAAAGTTTACTCACTTTAACGTAGGGATCCGGTCCTGAATCTTTGTCTTTGGGATCCTTCAGCAACAGAACCTTCATTGTTTACCAAATAACTGCACAAGAGCTCTGAAATACAATAAAGAAATTTATCTAAATTAGATCTAGAGGACTTTCTACTGAACAGTAACTTTAATAGCTCAGCTTCAAAGGAACTGGGCTGCTAACAGTTGCACTGCTCCCTACACAATGAGTTAGCAGTTAACGTGCCTTCTCTGGGCATGAATATCCACCCTGATAAGGCCAACAAATAACATGCTGTCTTTAGATAAAACTGCTTAAGGGAGAAGCTATAATGAAAGTCACTAGGGAGAACACATTTTAGAGGAGAGTGTTTTGTAAAAGGAATAACAACCCTGACAGTACCTACACGTTTCTGTGAGGTAAAAAGCTCCTATCGATAAAAACTTAATCTATTATATTAATTTCCATGCTAGTTTCCAGCCTGTGCTCATCATAATGAGTATGGAAGGGATTAAGTATCAAGAGACATATTTGGGGTCTCACCCTTTTCATGGGGGAAGCCACGTGCAGGGCAGTTGCAAAATTTCTTTACAATAATACAAATGTGTGTCTGTACACTCACACATCTGAATATAATATATATATAATATTCAGATGCCTTCTTTGATAGATCTCTAGTAAATAGGACAATGCTGAAAAAACAAATCTGCCATTAAAATGGAAGAGAAGAATCCTCAGTTCATTTAAAGTTGACTTTGGTGCTGAATTCAAAGCCTGTTATAAGACACAAGCAAATACACCAAGCATCAAAGTAAACAAATGCTGTAGTACAAACAGAAATCCCTCCTCTAACTGCACATTTAATTAGCTGTGTTATTTTCCTGACAGATTACATACTAGCAAATTCTCTTTAAAATTAATATTTATGAACATTCAAATGTACAGAACATCTTAAGTTTTATTCATTTGCATGAGGTGTTGAAATCACAATATCTTTTCAGACAAAAATGAGAAAAAAGACAAGAAGCAGCTCAGACAGCAGTGCCCAAAGCAGGATCTGGCACAAGGAACCAGAGCCCAGTGCCACACATCCATCTACAGCCAGAAGCACCAAAAACAGAGGTGGTGAAAGGGACACCCAAAGCAAACCACCCCCAGGAACATCCAACTGTGATACTATGTTAATTTTGTGGCTTTAAAACTTTTTTAAACAAAGAAATCAATTAAAAATCTAGGTTTTAAAATGTGGTGTCCTAACTGAGGTGTTTGATTCTGGGTGTCTTACCATTAGACATGGAAGTGCTCATTTCCAGGAGACTTCCAGAACTCAGGATTGACACAGTGGGAACTGGAAGTAGATCCCACCCATGGATTTCAAGAGCTGGACTCACACTTTGGAGTATCCAGTTGCTAGCAGCTTGAAGGAGGCTGGGGAAGTGACTTTTCTCTGTCACTTTAACAGTTATTATTACCAGTCTTCTCTTAAAAAATCCAACATTTTTATATAAAATATCTCTGTATTATCAAAAGCTTCCAGAATAAATCCAAAACACAGCCCATGCCAGCTACAATGGAGAAAATCCACTCTGTTCCAGCCCATACCTTAGTAAGTTTTAGGCTCCCAGGTCCTTGGTTATAGGATGCTGCTGGCCACCCACTTTTGGCTCACTAAACAAGCACTTTGTTTGCCTGAGCACCAACGACAACTCTGCAAAGATTGTTCTTCAAATATTAACAAAATACCAGGTAAATCCCATTAATCTTGCTAACAGCTAATGAAAGGACAACAGGTATTTTTTTTTGTCTTGAGCACACAGATGCAAAGATGAAGAAAAACTTGGAACCATCCCACCAGCTCTGATTTTCCAGGAGTGACTGGAGGGTCTGAGGCATCCCATGGTGACTGAAGTCTAAAACAAGTTTGGTGCCATTTCTCTGCGTCCACTTTAAGTCCACCTTCATTTAGAAGAAGGGTAATTTAGGCCACATTGCAGTTTCAGAATATTATCCTTACAGACATAATTGAAACACTTCCCATTCACAGCACCACACAGTAAAATTCCACATCCTTGTGCCTTCAATTAAAGTATAAAGCTGATTACAATGTGTATCTCTAGGCCCCTGATATTGGTGCAGTAAAAATGAGCTATACTCTCATATTAAAAAGACCTTTTCAGATGTTTTTTTTATACACAACACTGTACAGAAACATCTCTGTGGGTCACTCAAATTTAATTTGAAAAGCTGTCCTCAAACTAATTGCAAACTACTTTCACAACAGAGGACAGCCTGTAAAAAGAAATAAATGGGTCCTTTTGTTTCTCGCTGCCAAGTGGCTCCAAGAGCTGCAAAAAAATATATTAAACTTTCCTAATATTCTGATTATAAGTGACCATATGGGTCACACAATAAGGTTTGACTGCCAAATGCAGAGAGAATTGTCTGTTCCATCATAAACATAAATGGAGATGAATTTTGAGATACTGTGTGAGATATGATTTTTATAAAGCCTCTAAAAAGCCCTGGGGTAGGATTTTGGATGCTGTGCATTTTTCAACAATATTCTTTTCCTGTGATTAGATGGGTTCAATCACTGAGAAGAAAACAAGGCTACGTGTGAGGCTGCCATGAAGTGTGGCTCAGAGGGGTGTTCCTCAGGCATCAGTACTGGCACTGGGGCTGCTGTGTTGGTAACATGGGCAGCAGGATCAAGGGCATCCTCAGCAAGTTTGCAGCCTGACAGGCTGGAGAGGTGGGACCACACCAAGCTCATGAAATCCAACAAGGCCAAGTGCAAGGTCCTGCACCCAGGTCATGGCAATCCCAAGCACAAATACAGGCTGGGGGGAGTATGGATTGAGAGCAGCCCTGAGGAGAGACTTGGGTGTGACAGCTGGTGAAGAGCTCAGCATAAGTCAACAATATGTTGTCCAGAGAGACTTCTGGTGGCCTTCCAGTGTCTGAAGGGGGCTACAAGAAAGCTGGGGAGGGACTTTTTACAAGGGCTTGTAGTGAAAGGAAGAGGGGCAAAGGGTTCCAACTGGAAGAGGGGAGATTTAGATTAGATGTAAGGAAGAAGTTCTTCACTCTGAGGGTGGTGAGACACTGGCACAGGGTGCCCAGGGAAGCTGTGGATGCTCCATCCCTGGAGATGTTCAAGGCCAGGCTGGATGGGGCTCTGAGCAACCTGCTCTAGTGGGAGGTGTCCCTGCCCATGGCAGGGGGGTTGGAACTGGATGACCTTTAAGGTCCCTTCCCTAAACAATTCTATGACTCTACAACATAAAATGTGTATCACTAAGTAACAACAACAAAAAATTTGAAAATAATTCCTACTATTTGGGCATCTCTGTCACAAAACTGAACAAAACTAGTTCTTTGACATGGCAGCCCAGAGGATCATCAAAGGACTCAGACCCTTCTCCTACATCATGGATTTTTACCAAAAGCCATGTTATAATTAATGACATTCTTGACTGACATAGTTTCAAAAACAAAATGGAAAACTGTAGATAGGTACAAACTGCATCCCCACGGAGGCAGATTTACTACAGCAATAAAGGCCTTTGCCAATGCAAGACACTCCACACTGAATTAATTCCCTGGGTATCAATATTCCTGTTTTGGCAATGACCTAAGTGCTCCTGGAGCAGGCAGGGCTCTCCAGAAATAATTATAATAGTAATAATAAAACACAGACATGTTTGGTACTTCAAAGAGACATACAAATTCTAACCTGTCTGGCTTGCATTCATAAAGCCAAATTTCCATCCCAGGCCCTGTGCCTTGCATTTCTTCTGCTCATGAACACCTACCTTCCTTCATTGACTGTAGAGCAAAACTTAAATGGAACATGGTCCACGTGAACGAGCTCAAACATTAATGGCCACTTCTCCATTTTTAGTGCTGAACACTGTTCAACACATTTCCCTCATCAACATTTTTATGAACACATTTACCTTGTGTTTGCTGTATTCTACCTCACTGCCTTTTGTGTTCATCTGGAATTATCTGTAACTAGTCTGGGAATTCATATTTTAAGTAAGCATGGAGCACTTGATTCCTTTATTAATCTGATTTTCACTCATTTGACTAATATAGATGCTCAGGACAGATTTTAGGCCCTAGCACTGTACTTCAGCCTCTGTTTTGCTTTTTCTTTACAACAGTCTAACTGACAGGTCCAACAGAAACAGGCCAAGGACAGAGGTGGTGAGGGTGGAAGGATACTCAGCCCTAGTGAGGGCACACGTGGGGGACTGTGCCCAGTGCTGGGCTCCCCAGTTCAGGAGAGACAGGGAAGGACTGGAGAGAGTCCAGAGAATGCTCAAGAGCCTCTGGGGGGACTGAAGACTCTCTGTGCTGAGGAAAGGCTGAGAGCCCAGGAGCTGTTCAGGGGATCTGATCAATGCTGAGCAAGAGATAAAGGGTGAGGGCCGAGAGGCTGGGGCCAGACTCTTGTCAGTGGTGCCCAGGGATAGGACAAGGGACAAGGGGCACAGACTGGAACCCAGGAGGTTCCACCTGAACAGGAGGAGAAACTTCTGGTGCCGGAGCCTGGAGCAGCTGCCCAGAGAGGCTGTGGAGTCTCCTGCTCTGGAGAGATTCCAAACCTGCCTGGATATGGCCCTGGGCACCCTGCTGTGGGTGACCTGCTGGAGCAGGGAGGATGAGGTGATCCCCAGAAATCCCTTCCAACCCCACCACGTTGGGATTCGGTGACAAGTGTTGCAGGGGACAACGATTTCTCTCGCCTTCACCCAGGCGGACGCTGCAGCACGCACCCACACCTCCACGTACCGCTCCTGGAGTTCCTGCAGAGCCCAGGCGTCCTTCCCACAGCAGCCTATTCCTCCGAAACCCGGCG